TATTTAGTAAAACTTTTGTATAATTTTGCATCTTATTTTATTAATTTAGTATTGACAGCACAGTCTTAAATCGAATGAATAAATGTTTTAGATTTTTTGTTGTGGGACAATTTTAATAGAAGAAATATTTTCTGTCTAGCAAGCAAAAATCTTCCTTCTTCATGATATTATTATTTCAGAATTTACCAACTACAGAGTGCAATGTTGCGATTAACACTGGGTTACCCTGGGGCGGAAAGTTAAATCTAAATAGAGGAATATTACATAATTCATTGTAAGCAGCTTACGATTTTGACCAGTGGCCGCGTTGCTTAATTTTGGTGCAGGATTTAATACTTATATTGCTTAAATGATTGGATATGTTTTAATGCCTGCATCCAATGAATAGAAACGAAAGACTTTTCAATATATCTAAATTAGTGGAATTGTTTGAATTCCTGAATGCAATATAAAATAAAGTACAATGGTTTTATAACTCCTTCATAATCAATTGTATTTAAATGTCGCTAAATTAAAAAAAAACTCCACCAATGACGTCAGTGTTGCTGTAGCATCTCTAATAAGCAAGCAATCAGGAAATAGAGTAAAAAGTGTATATTAAAATGGAATAGGTTAACTAAATACCTATTCTCATAGTTTATTTAAGAATACTACCGATTCCGTTTACTTATATTGATATGTCCCAAACATTAAAAAGAAAAATGTAAATTTACATTAAGTTATTTATGTGCCATGCGTGATAAACGCTTAGGCGATCATGTATTTTTTGATACATGACTGACGAGGCAGATTTTTTTCCCGCGGTAGTTTGCCATTCCTTTCTGCGGTAGACCAGTTGCCATCCAAGATTTAAGAACCCGTTCGATTCTGCTATTTACCTATAGCTGGGGGCAAAGAAGAGGATTCATACCTTCCCCAAGAGTATTAGCACTTAATTCGAACTCGGCTCTCCGATTCCTCAATCCGAGCCGCTATCCATTACTCCACCGTGTTCCCCCAATAACTGTATATTTAAATGAAATGCGTTAACTAAATACCTATTCTTATAGTTTATTTGAGAATACGACCGATTCTTTTTAGTTATATTGATATGTCCCAAACATTAAAAAGAAAAATGTAACTTTACATTGGTCAAGCAAATTGAGTGTTTTACTTAATATCTATTGTTTTACTTATTCTATTGTTATGGCAACACGAGTCATTATACCCGAACCGAACATGTCACCCCAGTAATACATCGAAATATCGCATTTCGTGTTAGCTTTGTTTGTGTAATCTTAGATTTAATGATTTAAAAATAACAGAACTATTTGATTCTGGTCATCACTTCTCAACAAGAAAATCAGAGGAAAGAAAGCAAATTTTTATTGGCGGTAAATGGAAAATTAGGCTGGTAAATAACACGCGACAATGAGTGTTAATAATAAAACCGTAATATGATTGAATGATGTGACTTCAGCGGCATATCAATGTCTTATGGGTCATTTAATACCTAAATTAAATTTTCTGGGGAGCTTTGAAGTAATAAAAATATGTTATTCTGCTTTCACAATTGAATACATGGTAGATGGTACTCAGATTGTGTACATATACATGTTTGTCTGGAAATGATTAGACGCTGTGCGTTTTGTGTTGCATTTTTGTTGAAGTTATATTCTGGAATACATTTTGATATACAAAATCGTCGGTCAGTATATGGATTAATGCCATGAGAGTTCTTTTAGGTGAATCGTTATATTTTATTTGGGTGAATTTGCTACAATTTATTACTCTATTGCTTATTGTTGGTAATTTATATAAGAATGTATTGTTGATATTTTTACTATAAAAATTATTTTTTATACTTTCATAGTGTTTTGTTTTTGTTTGTTAGCGCTACTTTTTGCCCATAGCTGGGACCCTGACAGGTGCTACCACCCTGCCTTGGGGTGTACCTGGGAAAAACAGCAATTAACAGGTGGTTCCACGCTTCTCAAAACCTCCAATCTCCCATCAGAGGCCTGCTTTTATCGGCATACACAAGACTAAAATAATTATATTATACAAAACATGTTTAGTGTGTGAATGAAATCCTGAACTTCGTTTTTTTTTTCTGACGTCGTTTTCAGTAGTGAATACAGTGTCATTTGTTTAGTTTAATCTTCAGTAAATTATTGAATGAAATTAAACGTGTTCGTAGTGTAGCGGTCATTGCACAGAAAATAGTTTCGGCCTCTCCAGTTCAAATTGCAGCCATTACTAACGCAAAAACACTTGGAAACGTGCGAATACATCTCCCCACATCCCGCGTAGGAATCAATAGACGGGTAGACTGAGCTAGCATTGGTTGGAACGAAGACCAGATAGTTCTGAATTCAAAACAGATGAGACACTGAGGCATCAAATCACTTCTGTAAAAAATCAAAATACCACCCCTAAGATTGACGTCATACACTCAAACATGTTTAATATATAGATACATTAAACTTTTTAATAATAATAAATAAATAAATATTAGATAGTACAAGGCTCAAGAGCCAGTAAATATAGACGGCACGTGAAAAGGGCGTGTGATATGAATGAAAAAAGGGGTGGCATGAAGTGAATATTATGAGGTGAAGGGGAATAGATAAAGATGGACATTTGACTAATAGGATTGTTGTGTTCAGGGATGTATCTACACTGGAGTGTCTGATCCACATCTCGCAGTTCTTGGGAAAAGGGTGTGTGAGTGGATATTCCTTGTCCTAATTGGAATACGGAGGAAATGAAGATGATTCTCGAATTTGGCATGGATTATACTAGGTATAAAGCTCTGAACCCGTGGCACTAGAGAATGGAGTTCATCTGAAAATTCCTATGAAAAAAGAGATAGGCTTACAGCGTTATATCTTTTTTGACAATGTCTTTTAGAGTGGAGAATGTCTTCCTCTGCAAGACTGCGGAAAAGATTTTTCATGGTTGGAATGTGAGGATTGATCAGCTACGGCCCGAATATGACAGTGATATTCTATCTAAAACATGGACGTTTGCTCTATATATATATATATATATATATATATATATATATATATATATATATAAATGTGGATACTCGCTTGTAAAAAAACCTTGGATAGTTCGACTTGCAGTAGAACAAATTGGTACCCAAAGAAAAATGAGGAATAAAAAAGAAAGAACCAAGAATATTGTTAAACCAAGGCGAAAACAATCGTCCAGAGTTTAAGCTCTAAGTCCAATGAAAAAACCCTCGAAAATCGGAATAATCCGATGTTTTGTTATTTTATATTTTTATTTTTACAAAACAGTGCTCAATGTAAATTTTTTACAAAACAGTGCTCAATGTAAATTATATATATATATATATATATATATATATATATATATATATATATATATATATATATATGGCTGAAAAGATTCAGGTAATTCAGAGAGTGACAGAATGAGCCGACGATATTTTAAACAGCTTTACCAATAGTTTCTGCATATGCGTTCAACTTGAGATCTGAAGTGACCATCTTCTTCTTCTTCTGATCGGGTCGCTACACACCAGCGATACAGTGTCGCAAACAGACCCTTGCCCTGGGTGTTAAGGTTTCAAGGTCGTTAACCGTGCATGGATCTTCAAGAATAGGGTAAACTAGGAGATGTGATTGTCATGTCCATATTAGATCAACATTCGTGGAATATTCCCATTTTTGAAGGTCAGCTCGACAGAAACCAACTGCTGTTCGGTAGCGATTTAGACATAACCAGTAGGGCCAGGTATCACTGGAGCCAGGGAGAGAGATTCTGAAGATCTGGGACAAAAGCCTACGTTCCACGTTGTTCAGGGGGCTGCACCACAGAGACAGACGCTGACCATGGAGTGTATGACGAGGGTTAATTCCCTGCTTCAACTTCTCAGATTAAGAATGGATTGTCATTTTTATGTAAAGGGGAGCAATGCAACTAAGCAAATAAAGGTCATCTACTTTGGTCGGTTTGAGACACCCAATACTCAATCTGCAAGGCGTGTTGAAGACGAGGTCGATTTTTTGGCGGGAGGGACGCATGATGATCTGCGCCATACATGAAGTGACCATGAGACAGAACAGATGTTCAATGCATGGAACCTCTTTGAGAGGACAACAATCATTTCTGAAGAGAGAAATCTGTCATGATCGGTGATAATGAAACAAAACAAGCTTGGTTTTGAGGTGTTCATAGTTAAAAGTCAGCCGTTTCCCCCATATCCTCTTAGATTAACCCACAAGAGAGATCAGTTGCAAGGCTTTGTTCATCTTTATTTTTATAATTTTACCAAAATTATGCGCTCTCTTCAGCAGGATTCGAACCCACGTCCTCCTTGGTAGGATGAATTTATATAGAAATTGCTTTGTTTACCTTAGGGTACGAATCTGAGCAGTTATGATAGTTTCGAGAGTCTCTGACACATTTACACTGTAAGGCATTATTCAACTTTGCTTGATTATCGACAGAGTTTGTGGCTGAGACCATCTAAATAACGTCGGATCTAAAGACGGTTACTCCTGCAAAGGAAACGGAAGTTTTGAAACCCGGCGGAGGGAGCACTTTTTTCTTTAAGTAGATTTCTGGAATATTTAGGACGGTAGACGGAAATTAGAAAAATACAGTTAAATTAATAAACGGATCATCTGGTCAAATATGGGTATCCACTCAAAATAATGATTAATTAATGAAATAAATAGTTATTAAAAACGGTGGGTCAACACCAAATGAAGTGACCTTTTTATCAGGTAAGAGATGCGTGAATTGTTTGGCTTGGTGCATGACATACTTGACACATTCATCAATCTGATCTAATCTTCGAAAATGACGCTAGAATTTCATAGATAGATAGATAGATAGATAGATAGATAGATAGATAGATAGATAGATACAGACAGTGATGCATGCATTCAGATATACATGGATACGTCCTAACAAATAGATTCATGAATATACTGAGAGGAAGAGAACAACAGAGAATGAGAAATATGAACATACATAGTGTGTTATAGATAGACAGATAGATAGATAGATAGATAGATAGATAGATAGATAGATAGATAGATAGATATGAACAAACAAGTAAAGATAGATAGATAGATAGATAGATAGATAGATAGATAGATAGATAATGAACATTGAAAATGATAGATAGATAGATAGATAGATAGAATAGATAGATAGATAGATATGGTCAAACAAGGATAGATAGACAGACATAAACAAAAAAGTATAGATAGATAAAAAGAAAGAAAAAAGACAGATAGATAGATAGATATGAACAGACTAAAATAGCTAGCTAGCTAGCTAGAGAGAGAGAGATCTAGCTAGAATGATATGAATAACAATGAGAAAGAAAAGAAGACATGAATAAGAAAGAAACGCATATAACTGTGCATAAGACTTTGAATATATTTATGAACACATGCCTCATATCCTAATTTATATACTTATGTTAATATTTTTGCATGAATAAGTGAGTAAATAGTTCTAAGCTTCGAATCGTAAAGGCGTCGGCCGATATACGTTAACAAGAATTATACATAAAATGCTTTAAAAGACATAAATAAAGATATGTTGACGAAATACAGGGTTGTTGTTTTTTTTTCCTTTTTAAATAATAGAGAACATTTTTTTCATCCAATCAGTTAATTTTATAACTTTATCTTCTTCAGACATCTAAGCTTTGAAAGGAGAAAGTAATATATTTTATCTACACTTTATCAGATTGTCTCCCAGCAACGTCGACAACATACACGCTGGAATGTTGATTAAAAATAAAATTGCATTAGGCAGAGTTATTTTTAGAGATTTTCCCGCCATTATTTGAGAGTAGGTGGCGCTTCCCAATATAAGTTCTGAAATGAAAATGCTGAAATTATTTTGGATTTTTTGTCTGTAAGCTATCCAAAATGCATTACTCTTCTTTTTTCTTTTTCTTTTTTTTGCTTACTTTTCCTCCAGATTAACCATATAAAATTAGGCTAGATTTTGATTAAGAAAAGTATAGCCATTCATCTACTTATGAGGTTGTGGAGAGCTATGTTCATCATAATGAAACACACACACACATACAATCCCCTATATATATATATATATATGATTATGAAAGCGAAGACTTTAGAAACCCATAGTAGTATTTTATTTCAAAAAACGATACTTCGGTTTCGTCGCATCAGACCAAAATATATATATATATATATATATATATATATATATATATATATATATATATTCAGGCTATCGGTTTTCAGGAAACTGATCTGCCTGGTCCTCATACGTCGAAATCGACGGGAGAGTCGACTACATATATATATATATATATATATATATATATATATATATATATATATATATATATATATATATATGGGATAGCAATATATAAACATCTATATAACAAGAACTGTTTTGGATGAAAGATGTGATGCGTTTCATCCCTTAGGATTTCATCGGAATAGGTTTCTTCTGTTGATACGACTACAAATGCTCATGAACGAGAGAAGCTGGGAATTTAACATTTTGAAAAATATATAATTTTAATAATGTGCTTTGGGTTTTTTAACGTGTTCTAGCCAATATCATTAAGATTATTTTTCTTTTTCTTCCTGTTTCCATCATCTTTATAATTAAATATCGCACATTGTGATAACAGAAGATCTGTCAAGAATGGTGAAACGTTTTAGGAAGCTGTATAAAATCACGATTAAACCACATTCTAAATATTTTCGTCTCAGTCACTTAATTTCTCTGTTAATTAGAGCAGCATTTTTTTTATGTTAAAATGTGACCAATCTCGTTAAGGTGATCAACCAACGACTTTTGTGTGTGTGTTGTTTTTTTTTTTTTGGGGGGCTTTTTAAATGTCTCTTTTATGTTAATATAATCTTTTAGCTAAACTTCTTCAGATTTCTTCAATAATTAATTTCTGGTAATACACACACACACACACACACACACACATATATATATATATATATATATATATATATATATATATATATATATATATATATATATATAGTATGATTTGATTTTCTTGTTAAGACTGGGTAGTGATTTTGATCTGCAGTGGCTGCCCCATACTTTCACCATATGACATTAAATCCGATTTACATTAAGCATAGACATTCATGGATATGAATGCTACTTAGGAAGCTGTGGAGAATCATGTTCACTATATGTTTTCCATGAAATACGCCAATAATAGACACACACACGCACATACACGCACGTACACACACACACACACACACACACACACACACACATATATATATATATATATATATATATGAAGAAAAATTTGGAAAAAACAAACCAAAAATCCTTAAATGCAATTATGTTGTTTAAAATGAATGAAATGTCGACGTCTGACGTTTCGGTCTAATAAACCTTCTTCAAGAAAATATTCATTAAAATTTTAATTCTTTTCATTTTCTTTTTCATTCAAAATAATCAAAAATTTTAGGAATACGTTTTGAAAGCGTCGCCCATGTGACGACAACGTGACCATGCTAAACGGAAAGCTGATCATTTTAAAAAATTTCAGTTATCTGTTTTGGATAAGACTTGTTTTTTATGTCCATCGTCTTTGTCAAATTGAACTGAATTGTATTTTAATGAATATTGTCTTGAAGAAGGTTTATTAAACCGAAACGTCAGACGTCGACATTTCATTCATTTTAAACAACATAATTGCATTTAAGGATTTTTGGTTTTGTTTTTCCAAATTTTTCTTCATTCTGTCGGATCTATATCCATTTACATTTTTTCTTATATATATATATATATATATATATATATATATATATATATATATCAATTCGTGTCTAGTACGACCTTTTCTGACATTATTGTTAATTTGGTCGCCACTGATGACGTCTCTGACGTCTCATTGATCCAACGAAATGTGCACTTCGACGTGGTTAACAAGTTTATCTCGCTAGATAAATTACGACTGAATAGTGAGTTAGAGCCTCACTGTGTGTCCCACGCATTCGGCCTTGTGCTACGTCTATACTACACTTAGAAAACAACTTGCGTTTTAACCCACCAATTTTGCAAGCTAGTTTACCCCTTGCTGCATTGGTATTATGGTGCTTTGACTTTTAACGGCGGGTAAATAAACTCCCTGAGCAGCCCAGTTTGTTGCATAGACTTGCAAGTGAAATCATAGCGATAGATAATATTGCACTTGTGACGACGTGCATGAGTAATCATGCCAGATTTTTAACGGCACACGCGCCCACACTTAGCACAGGTAAACGATTCTTTAGTACCTACTAGCAGCATGGCCCGGCCTTGCCCGTACTTGATTAAAAAATCGTACGACTCATACAGCAATCGCTATCACTTGACTTAGAATAGTTTTGCCTTTCCTTGCCTTTAAAGGAGTGCCCTTTGCCGTCCTGATGTTACTACATGCCTTACTTCTTGCCTATCTCACACTGCGATTTTTTCTAAGCTCTATACTAAACATTAAATCTGTTACGAAAAAAGAACTAAACAAAAGGAACACAAAACGATCAGCTTTAAAAAGATTTAGCTAGTAGGAAGGGTTAGACTTGTGTATATAATTTAGCCTTTTTCGAAATTGTTTTGCAGTGTCTTCAAAGTAGACAATTAAGGGCCCATCTCTTTCAAAGGCTGATGTTTGAAGTTTGTAGCATTTGTGGAGCTTGCACTCCAGGAGTTTCTCTTCTACTTGTTCACTGCAGTGTGCTAGTTTCGGAAATTGGCTATCCTGTAATTGTACTTAGAGCATATCTCGACCAATGCTTCATAACCATGGAAATGCCAGAATCTTTTACTTGATGCAGCACGAAGTTATTGGGCCTTTTTAATATCCCCGACATATTCAGTATCTGACAAAATCATTTTTATGGAAACAGCTTTTATCATAATCTTTATTTTTAATCAATTCACCCCAAGCAACACAGTAATGTCACTATGACGCAAAGATCTACTGGGAGTGAAGGAGGTCAAGAGGATTTTAGAAGGAAACCGGAAATCCGAAACTAAAAAGAAAAAGTGATAAACCTCTACACCTGTTCAGAAGACCAAGACGGAATTGCCTTATGTATCACGTGTTCTGTAGGTAATGAACCAAAGGTGAGGAATCTGGATGTCCTGCTACCAAGGTAAACGAATATTTCCACAAATTCCAAGTTTCTATTTTTGTGCTGGGATTGATGGATGACCTTCCAGGAACGAACGGTTGAGAGTTCACTGTATTTATTTTAGATTGATCATAATTTGAAATTCATTAAAATACCGTGAATATATTTCTGTGTTCGTAACTAAGTCACATTCACAGTTTAGGTCATGAATCAGAGACATGAATGTTTTAAAATCAGCGAGATATCAGCGAAAGTTGAAAAGATTACTAGCTGTTCTGTAGGGGTTATAAATATCAACATCATTTTACGCAAAAGATCTTAATAGAAGTAGCGCCAAAATAAAAACTGCGAAAAGTGTAGGTGTCATGAGATCTGTCTGCCTCTTATCAGACTCCACAAAGTCAGCGTAAATGACGGTTCCGTATAGGATGCAGGTTCGAACCCTGTCAAACAACAAATATTTTCTATGAAAATTTCTCGGACATTCAGGCCGGTAAATGTTATTTAATACTGTTTATCATAAACAGAGCATTTGCTTAAATACTTGTATCTATAAATAACAACGTTAAACATAAAAATGTCTTTAATAAATAAATTGTCGGACCTTTGTCCATTTCTTTTATATATATATATATATATATATATATATATATATATATATATATATATATATATATATATATATATATATATATATATATATATATATATATATATATATATATATATATATATATATATATATATATATATATCACACAGTGATAACTATGTTTCAAAATGGAAGCTAAAAGCTTCAAATTTACTTTAATAATTAAATTATAACATTAGTTCCATTTCATCCTCAAGCAATTTTGGACTCCAAATTTGAAGCTTTTAGCTTCCATTTTTGAAACATGGTTATTACTGTGTAGCGAAAAAAAACATATTTTAAATCATTTAATTTATAATATTAATGCTCTGTAAATTTACATTGAGCACTATTTTGTAAAATAAGAACACCATATTATATATCTTACTGTTCTTTCTTTATATATATATATATATATATATATATATATATATATATATATGTAAAGAGAAAAAAAGGAGAGTGAGAGAGAAAAAGAAATTTAGAACAGGAAATATAGATATAAATCTCACATACGTATCCAACGAGGCCTGCTATTAACGAAATTCTG